GGGCCAGGGCCCGGGGGAGGGCGGAGGGGCACCCCGAGAGGGGCAGTCATTGGAGTGGGGGCACCTATTTGGCCTCTCTTCCACCCCCGCACGCAGGACCCAGGGCTCTTGGGGTGGCGGCTCTGAGCTCCGCTGCCTCTCCTCCCCGGTTTCTGCCCTGAGGTGGGGTGTCTAGCTCCGATTCCCCACCTCCCAACCCGGCTCAGCTGCCTGCAGAATGGAGACCCGCACCTTGCGAACTCCATGCCAGCCCCGCAAGCCCAGCCCTCGGCGGCGGCGGCCTGGAGCGGCGCTGCGCCTCGGCTGCGGACTCCGGGAGGAGCGGCCTGCCGGTGCCCTGCTCCACTGGGAGCCGGCCTCGCCTGGGCTGCCGATCCAGAATCCAGCAGAGGCGTCGGGACAGACGGACAGGCAGCGGGAGTGGGCGCCAGCGCGGGTTTCCCAGCAGTGGAGCTGGAGCTGGCTCACGGCGGTGCCAGGCAGCTTGGAGGCACTGGCTCCCCATCTCTCCTAGCCCTTCCACTACCCCAAGGCCATCTGTGCTCAGGGTTCCTCCGCAGTGTGAAGGGAGTCATTGATCCCAAGCAAGACCCCACAAAGCTAGTTGCACAGAGATAGGGATAAGGAGGAGATAGAGGCCTGCTGGTGTGGGGAGGGGGGCTCTCCCTGCCCCCATTGCTCTATAGTACCCTTTCAAGGGATCCCATCCACTGAACCACCGGGCTCCCACAGAATGCCTTTTTGGGCTGAACAAAAGATTGAATAAAAACCTCTCCACTGTCTGGCTCAGGCACTCCATCCCAGCACTCAGCTCTCATCTATCCACTACCGCCACCACCCCAGACTCTTCTGCTTTGGTAGTTGATTGATCCCTGTATATAATCAGAAGGTTAGCACACATGCAGGGTGTATAGACGTGCCAGGCGCTGACGCCTAGCCCAGCGTCCCTTGCTCATCCAGTGCCAGGTGCCCTTCTAGCCTGCCTGGTCCCCAGGGTGGTCTTTAGTTCCACCTCTGCCTTCAGCCTCTTGCCTCCCCTGAAGAAGCTTCTCCTGCCTCCTGACGCAGAGCTAGTGCTGCTGTGACGGCCCTTCCTTTTCCACTGAAGATAGATGCACAGAAGGGGACGTGAAACATAGATGTACGCCGGTCTAATAAATTTTAACCCTTTGTCCCCTCACTTCAAAGGTCACGAAATGGACTTTATCAGCACCCCAGGGCCTCCCAGCTGCCCTTTCAATCTCTTCATTTCCCCAAGAGGTAATCACCGTCCTAACTTTTGTGCTAACCTCTTTGAAGCCCCCCACCCCCACCCCTGAGTGTGTGCATGGATAGATAACACAGTTTAACGTTTCCAGTATTCACTGGTGTCATAATGCATGGATTTGGTTGTGATTTCTTTTTCTTAGCATTTGGCGACTGACTATAGCTCACTGCCACTGAATTGATTTTGACTCAGAGAGACCCTCAATAGGGTTTCCAAGGCTGCAGATCTTTACAGGAGTAGATGCCTCATCTTTTTCTCATGGAGCTGCTTGTGGGTTTGAACCGTTGACCTTGAGAGCAGTCCAATAATTCACTGACAGCGCCATTGCAATTTAACTAGTCTACCGTTTAGGGTCATTTGTATTTCTGGTAGTGTAATCAGGAAAACAGAAAGTACATTATGTATTTCAAGTAGAGTGGATTTGATAAGGGAACTGGTTATACAGGAGTTTAAAACTACAAGAAGAAAATGAAAATGAACGTCAAGATAACCTAGAACTAGCTCCACGTCCTCTTCTGGGTCTGGCCTGGATTTCTGGCTGCTCTCTCTTCCTCTGCAACTGCTGTTGAATTCTCTTCAGCAGAAGTTTCATTTCAGGTGATATTGATATTGTTCTGTTGGGTCACCTTTCTTTTTCTTTAATCATTTTATTAGGGGCTCATACAACTCTTATCACAACCCATACACACATCCATTGTGTAAAGCACATTTGTACATCCATTGCCCTCATCATTCTCAAAACATTTCCTCTCCACTTAAGCCCCTGGCATCAGGTCCTCATTTTTCCCCTCCCTCCCCCCTCCCTCATGAGTCCTTGATAATTTACAAATTGTTATTTTGTCATATCTTGCCCTGTCCGACGTCTCCCTTTACCCACTTTTCAGTTGTCCGTCCCCCAGGGAGGAGGTCACATGTAGATCCTTGTCATCGGTTCCCTCTTTCCAACCCACTCTCCCTCTACCCTCCCAGTATCGCCACTCTCACCACTGGTCCTGAAGGGATCATCTGCCCTGGATTCCCTGTGTTTCCAGTTCCTATCTGTACCAGTGTACATCCTCTGGTCTAGCCATATTTGTAAGGTAGAATTGGGATCATGATAGTGGGTGTGGGGTGGGGGCGGGGAGGAAGAATTTAGAAACTAGAGGAAAGTTGTATGTTTCATCTTGCTACATCGCTCTCCACGACCGTCTGGCTCGTCTCCTCCCTGAGACCCTTCTGTAAGGGGATGTCCAGTGGCCTACAAATGGGCCTTGGTTCTCCACTCTGCACTCCCCACAAGGGTCACCTTTCTTTAGAATGGATACAAATATGGATCTCTCCCAGTTGGTTGGCCAGGTAGCGATCTTCCGCGTTTCTTGGCCTGGGTGAGTGAGTGCTTCCAGGGTTCCATCCACTTGTTGAAGCATTTCAGGTGGCGTTCTGTCAATTCACGGAGCCTTGGAGTTTTCTTGCTGCTGCCTTCAGTGCCGCTTGGGCTTCTTTCTTGAGAACCGTTGGGTCTTGATCATATACTACCTCTTGAAATAGTTGAATGTTGACTAGTTCTGTTGGTTCAGTGACTCAGCCTATTCTTCCCATCTTCTTTTGATGATTACTGCATCATGCAAATTTTCCCCCCCACAGAATTCGGTCAATATTGCCACTTGGGGCTGGAATTTTTTCTGGAATTCTTTCAGTTTAAAGATACGTGAAGTGTGTTCTTTTTTGGTTTCTGACTCCAGGGCTTTGCACACTTCACTCCAATGTTTCACTCTATCTTCTTGAGCTGACCTTAAAATATTCTGTTCAGCTCTGAGGTATTGTGTCAACCTGGCTAATAAACACATGTGGGATTAATTGAAGGGCAGGGGGGTAAATGGCTTGGTGAGCCTCGCCTTTCTAGTTCTCGGGTCTCTTGCTTCCTGATGGTTGGACCAGGGTGCAGCTGCCTTAGCCAATTGCCTGCTTCAGCTGGCAAGGCTCACTTCCTGCAAGACATTCCTGAGGAGAAGCCACGTGGACCTACCCCGATGCAGCCCTGGGTGCTGGAGCAGCCGTGTGGAGACCCCTGCCAGCGCTGAGATGTTCACATGTTCACTGACTCGGCTTTCCTCCTGCAGTCGGTGTCATTGAGTGTGTTTTGTGAGATGGAGGAGGACTTTGTGAATTGGTGTCGGACATATGGGTTAATGGGTTAATGTTGGACTTGTGGGCTTGGGCAGCACTGGGCTGGGATGTTTTCTTGATGTGCACTCACCGTTTCTATAAAACTCTCTCTTACACATGAGTTTCTGTGGATTTGTTTCTCTAAAGTACCCAGACTAACACAAGCTCTTTGACTTCATCATTTCTTCCATTTGCCTTGACGACGATGGAGGGCAAGTTTGAGCATCTCTCTGACACCCACTGGGATCTTTCTTTTCTTTCCTGTCCTTTGAGGGACCCCTTGCTTTCTTCTTGTTGGATGTCCTCAGTGTCCTGCCATGGCTCCTCGGATCTTCTGTGTTCAATGGTTAAACATTTTCTTGCGATGGCCACAACATTCAGGTGGGATGTACTCAAGGTCATATTTGGCTCCAGTGGATGTTTCCATTTTCTTCAACTTCAACTTGAGCTTACACATGAGCAATTGACTATCTGTTCCATAGTCAGCCCTTGGCTTGGTTTTGAGCGTCTGCATCATCTGTTCCCTCATATGTATCCAATTTGATTTCTGTGTATTCCACCTGGATAAGTCCACATATGTCATCACCATTTATGTTGTTGATGAAGAAGCTGTGGGCCGAGTCAAAGTCTATCAAGTGATCTCCAGCTTCATTTCTACTCTGAAGGCCATATTATCCAACTGCAGTTTCTTCCTCATTGTTTGCAACTTTCACATTCCTTGGTCAATAATTATAAATGCTTCTTGATTGCATGTTTGCTCGGTTTCTGACTGAAGAAGTTGGCAGAATTCTTCAATTTGTTCATCACTAGTTTTAGTGGTTGGAATGATAGCTGTCTTAACTGGAATGTTGAGGCATATAGATACTGTCCTATTACAGATACCATTGTACTTCAAGATAGATACAGAAATGGGATTTAAAGTGGATTCTAAATCCATTTAGAGCTCACCTTAAATTCAGGTTAACTTCATCTTTAAATCCTTAACCCGTCTGAGTGGCTGAAAAACGGCGGAAGAGTACAATTGAAATGGGCTTGAACTCTTACGATGTACAAATTCATTTCAAACATGAAAAACAGAGAGACCAGTCAGTTCTACTCTCTCCCGTAGGGTGCTAGGCCTCAATACTGCTCTTGACTGACAGGGGGTTCATTTCGTTATAGGGGAGCAGCGACTAGACTGATGTAGCCACTTGCTCTT